AGGATGTTCCAGTCGATGCAGGGCGGTAACACACACACGCACACGCTTAACGAGGCGAACCTGACTATGCTGAACACGGCGGCGCCGAAGGGGGCAGCGCGCAGGAGGGATAGTAGCCCTGGCACCCTCAGCGCTGACACGCTCCCGCTTGGGCGCGACACCTCGCCTGCGTCGCTCGTCGACTCCCAGGGCAGCCAGCAGACGAGCGCTCCTGTGACCACCCCGGAGGCAGCCTCACCAATGCCAATCGCTGGGGCAACAACAATCGTCGCATGCCAGGCCGCCCCGATGCCGCCTGAGGCTCCACCCGCGCCTCTCCCCGACGCCTCTGCGGGGGGCGGCCAGCAGGCTGCGCCAGGGCTGGTGCATGCCATGGCTCAGGCAGCGAAGGCAGTTGGGAGCCACCTCGCCCCGAAGGATGCGGCGCCCACGGCTGGCCGCGGGCGTGGGGGTGGACGCGGCCGCGGCCGCGGCCGAGGCACGGTCGGCGCCGCGGCCGCGGGCGCCTCGGGCAAACCAGGCGTGGCGAAGGCCGCGGCCTCGGTGAAGCAGACCCCCAAGGCCGCTAAGAAGCTGAGCGCCAACGTAGGCAAGATCACGAAAGGCAAGGTCACGGTTGATATCTCCGATATCCTTCTGAAATCGTCGATGGCTGGGCGGAGCCGCAACGTTTTTGCCAGCTGGGCCTACGGCCTGGCTAAGTCCAGGGCAACCCAGCAAGGCGTCAAAGGGAATGCCATCACAGAGATGGCAAAGGAAGCCTACCGCGTAGCCTCCGAGGCTTGGGGGCGGCTGAGTGCAGAGTAGATCAGCTGTCATACCTCCCTCATCTCTCCTGCCTCCTCCTGAAGAATCCTCACTCCTCCCCCTTCTCCATCTGTCCCCTTCTCAAATATCACCATCTTTCCTGTTCCTCCCTCCCCCCTCCCTCCTCATCCTCCTCCTCGGAGGCGGCTGTTTGCAACGACAGCTTAGCAACGTACAGCTCTTAAGAGACTCGGTGCATCCGAGGCCGATAGCGTGCACATGTATATGCATTGGGGTTTGGCATCTGCGCGCATGTGGGGACGGCGCCAACTATTGTCGTGCACGCTCTTACGGATGCTCGATGATAAAATCATCATCCAGGTCCTCCTCCTCATGCCCTGGGGCCCGTCGCCAGAGGGGGTGCCCGCCCACGGCCAGCCCTCGAGACCCCGAGCGAACCGAGGATGAGGAGAAAGATGAGGGGCAGGAGGATGGGGAGGAGGGTGCAAACTATGCGGTGCAAGCTGAGGGGTGCAGGCTACGTGGTGCAGGCTAGCTCGTGCCATATGTGGTGCAATCTACGTGGAGCCTATGTGGTGTAGCCTATGTGGTGCAATCTATGTGGCGCAGCCTATGTGGTGCAATCTACGGGGAGAGATCTGGATGCGGACAGGCAAACCAAGTTTACAAACCAAACTTAAGCCAAACCAAGTTTACAAAACAAACTTGCTAGATCGGGGCGCAATATATGCGGTGCAAGCTGGGGTGCAATGCGCGGGGCGCGGGTCAGATGGTGCAGTGTGTGTGCTGCTTTACCAGCAAGGTCCACGGCACCTGCGCGGGAGGACCGTCTCGTCCCGTCCGTAGCCATTCCAGGCTCAAGCAGGGCAGCCATGCCCGACACCAAGAGGCCAAAACTTAGCACGTTCGGCAAGCGTTCGCACGTAACCCAGTCTGCCCTGGCCGATCTGTTGCGCCAGGTGAATGCTGAAGGTTTGCCCCCATGCTTCAGCGCCTCCACCCAGAGGAGGCATCGAAATAAGATCGCGACGCAGGGGTCCAGCTTCGGCCCGCTCCTGCAACGCCACACCTTTGAAATAGAAGATGGTGAACCCGTGCACGCATGGCTGCAACATCCGCTTGCGTTCATCGAGTGCGCGTGCAAAGTCTCGTCATCATTCAAGAGCATGTTTCTTGAGACGGTGCGCCGATCCTCTGGCCGAATTAGCGTCATCGTCTACTCGGACGAAGTGGTGCCAGGGAACGTGCTCTCGGACAGGAACCTTCGGAAGGTCCAGGCCATATATTGGTCGCTTAAGGAGATCGGATTCCCTGGGCTATCCAATGAGCTGTGCTGGAATACGATATGCTGTGTTCGAAGCTCCGAGTGCGACAGGGTATCGGCGGGGCTCTCGGCCATGATGAAGCGCTGCCTCCAGCTGTTCATGGGCTCCCCTGGTGCACCTGACTTGCGCCACGGCGTGGCGCTCATGATCGACGGCGCCCCCGTCCTCGTTCACGGCGACGTGAAGATCATGATACAGGACGAGAGGGCCCACAAGTACGTGACAGAGTGCAAGGGCGCCACGGGCATCAAGCCCTGCTTCCTGTGCGCTAACATTGTGGATAGGCGTTCGAATCTGCTTCCAGATCCAACTGGCTTTCACGTGCCAGTGGACGAGATCGACGTGTCAAAATTCATGCTTCACACACGGGAGTC